TTTTTTATAATTCTGAGTTTACATCTCAAAATTCTAATTAAAAAAAATTATGATTCTGAGTTTACATATCAAAATTCTAACATTTTATATAATTCTGAGTTAACATCTCAAAATTCTATTTTTTTATAATTCTGAGTTTACATCTCAAAATTCTAATTAAAAAAAATTATGATTCTGAGTTTACATATCAAAATTCTAACATTTTTTATAATTCTGAGTTAACATCTCAAAATTCTAACATTTAAAAAAATAATTCTGAGTTTACATCTCATAATTCTAACATTTTAAAAAATAATTCTGAGTTTACATCTCAAAATTCTATTTTTTAATTCTGAGTTTACATCCCAAAATTCTATTTTTTGAAATAATTCTGAGTTTACATCTCAAAATTCTAACATTTTTAAAAATAATTCTGAGTTGACATCTCATAATTCCATTTTTTATAATTCTGAGTTTACATCTCATAATTCTAACATTTTAAAAAATAATTCTGAGTTTACATCTCATAATTCTATTTTTTAAAAAATAATTCTGAGTTAACATCTCAAAATTCTATTTTTTTATAATTCTGAGTTTACATCTCAAAATTCTAACATTTTTAAAAATAATTCTGAGTTGACATCTCATAATTCCATTTTTTATAATTCTGAGTTTACATCTCATAATTCTAACATTTTAAAAAATAATTCTGAGTTTACATCTCATAATTCTATTTTTATATAATTCTGAGTTAACATCTCAAAATTCTATTTTTATATAATTCTGAGTTTACATCTCAAAATTCTAATTAAAAAAATTATGATTCTGAGTTTACATATCAAAATTCTAACATTTTTTATAATTCTGAGTTAACATCTCAAAATTCTATTTTTTATAACTCTGAGTTTACATCTCAAAATTCTATTTTTAAATAATTCTGAGTTTACATCTCAAAATTCTATTTTTTATAATTCTGAGTTTACATCTCAAAATCATAATTAAAAAAAATTATAATTCCGAGTTTACATATCAAAATTCTAACATTTTTTAAATAATTCTGAGTTTACATCTCATAATTCCATTTTTTTTTATAATTCTGAGTTTACATCTCAAAATTCTGATTCTTTGATTTTTTCTCAGAAGATGTAAACTCAGGTTTATACCTCACAATTCTGGGTTTACATCTTGCAATTCAGGTTTATTCCCCCTGCCATGGATTATAAAATGTAATAAAGTAATTCTGACTTTTTTTTCTCAGAATTGCATGTTTATATATATATATATTGCTATTCTGGGTTTATGTCTCGCAATTCAACCCTTGGCTGTTTTTATCAGACGGCAGGCGTCTCACCTGAACAAGGCCAGACATAATGACCAGAGCTTCTGCCTGTCCTTCATAAAGACACGTCCAAGAAACATAACTGCTGCATAACTACCCGACAGAACAAACGCTGCTCCCCTGAAACACATCAGAATTCACTTTAAGACCTGATGAAAAGATACACCTATAAATTCGTGCCGTCAAACGAGTTTTTCCTAAATTAATCGCGATTAATCGTTTGACAGCACTAATAAAAAATGCTTTTTTATCATTTACAATAATAAAAAAAAAATTTACACATACAAAATATGATACTATTGTACAATTAAAATAGAATATATAACGATTCCATTACAAAATTGATAATAAACATAAAAAGCAAAACACACTTGTAAATGCTAACTAACTAAATAAATAGATGCATACCGTGAAAAGAGGGTGATTAACTTTGCATTTATAATTAGTGATCTGTTACGTAAATAACGGGTGAGTTACTTGAGTGTCTGTCTCACAATTCTGACTTTATATTTTGCAATTTATTTATTCATTTATTTGGAATCACTGGGAAACGTCTGAATTGGGAGAAGTGCGTTAAAAAGTCCGAATTGTTTTAAATTTTGCTTCCATACTCCTCTCCCGCAGACAATAGCAATAAAAAACAACAACAAACAGGGACTTTTATTTTGAAAAATAACAGTTTCAAGTAGAGATGGGAGAAATGCCATTACAGATAAGAAGACAACAGTTAATAGTATCCTATTGGGCAAATTTAAGAGGTCAGAGTGAAAATCACCCTACAAAGAAAGTGTTAAGACCTAGTTGGGAACACGAGATAAATATATACATGCATGTCTGTGTATTTATATATGCATAATAAATATACACAGTACACACACATATAGTATGTAAACAAAAACTTTTATTTTGGATGCGATTAATCGTTTGACAGCACTAATATAAATGTATAGTTTTTATTAAATTCAGTTTTAGTTCATTTTAAAATGAAACCAAATTAAAATGAGGAACGTTGCAATGGCAGCTAGCTGAAATAAAAATGTTTTTTATATTTTAGTTTCAGTTAACGGTTTTTTTCCCCCAAGTAACAAAAATGTTCTTTTAATGGTTTTAATTTTAGTTTCAGTTTTAGTTTCAGTTAACTATATTGAACTACAGTATAAGTTATAATATGAATTATTAGTATAATATGAGTTATTAGTTTTAGTGTGGCGCGATCATTTCAGAAGTGTTAATAATCTTTCAGATGTAGAAACTTATAAAACAGGGGTTCTCAAATTCTCAAACATTAAAGCAGCGCTATGTAACTTTTTCAATGTTCAAAATTTGCAAAATGCATATAATGAGCGAGTGCATCATGAATTCATCTTCCAAACCGCGTTTTTGTCTTTTTCCGAATCACTCCGGTACACTTATAATAAGTGCTTATATTCGGACTATTGTAGCCTGGTCACCGCTGCGGAGTAACACACACCTGCGTGAATCGCCATAGACATACACTTAGAGAAGTAGATCCGGTTGGAATGTTCTTCCGCGGGATGTGTGCAGTTCTGTTTATTAACCGCTAGAGCGCCATAAGTTACATAGTGCTGCTTTAAAGCAGTATTTCAGCGCAAGCAACTGCAAAGTCATGGGTTCGATTCCCAGGAAAGGCATGAACTGAAAAAAAGTGTAGCTTGGATGCAATGATAAAAGCCTCTGTCAAATGCACGCATGCAAATATAAATGCAACGGTGTGTATGAGGGAAAAAAGTAAGTGCTCACAGTTATCTCGCCACTTTTAATAATTTTTCCTCATATCAGGTCAAAGTTAAAACATAGTTAGATGCACGATTAAAATGATAAAGATGTTTCTAGGAGCATTAATGCTTTATTTTGCATTTTATGCAATTTATGCTGATTCTCTAATGTTTGTATTCTACAGAATGGGACGCAGTGAAAGAGAAATGGAATGAAAAGTCAGTTTATGTGGTTGGCAAAGCGACAGCATCTTTAGGTATGAAACTGATTCTGTTGATTTCAGCTGAACACGAGGGAGCTCTGGTGGATCAGGAGGTTATGAGACAGTATTTTAGCATCTGTGCTTCAACACAATGGCAGCACATCAGAAGCGTTCTCACACACGGCTGGGATTCACACGTCCCTGATGAGTGTTTTAAGTTCGCGGCTGTGAATGAAGGAGGTGTGTGTTTGTGGCTGGAGTCAGCTGAGTAAATCTGCTCACACCTGCCTGATGTTCTGAACACACCTGTGCATCGTCACAGCCAGATGAGAATCACCTTCCTCTCTCATCCTCATCGTCTCTTCTTTGTGTCTCTCTGCATTTCTTTTCTCTCTATTTGTATGTTTAAAATCTACTTTTTTTTAAAGAACAAGCACGTGTCATATTTTGCCCCAAAACTAGAAGAATAAATGTTATGTTTGTATGTATGTATACACCTCATTCTCAGCTGTGCCTCGAAACTCAGCTGTATTTTCAGCATCATTCCTCCAGTCTTCAGTGTCACATGATCTTCAGAAATCAGTATAATATGCTGATTATTATCAAAAAGTTTTGCTGCTTCATATAAGCTGTGATACTTTTTTCAGTATTCTTTGATGAATAAAAATTTAAAAAGAAGAGCATTTATTTAAAATAGAAATCTTTTCTAACAATATACACTACCGTTCAAAAGTTTGGGGTCAGTACATTTTTATTCTTAGTTTTTTTTTTAAAGAAATTAAAACTTTTATTCAGCGAGGATGTGTTAAATTCAGCATCATTCCTCCAGTCTTCAGTGTCACATGATCTTCAGAAATCAGTATAATATGCTGATTATTATCAAAAAGTTTTGCTGCTTCATATAAGCTGTGATACTTTTTTCAGTATTCTTTGATGAATAAAAATTTAAAAAGAAGAGCATTTATTTAAAATAGAAATCTTTTCTAACAATACACACTACCGTTCAAAAGTTTGGGATCGGTACATTTTTATTCTTAGTTTTTTTTTAAAAGAAATTAAAACTTTTATTCAGCGAGGATGTGTTAAATTGATAAGAAGTGACAGCAAAGATTTATATTTTGAGTAAATGCTGTTCTTTGTATTAATCAAAGAATCCTGAAAAAACTATCAGACATATATATTCAAAAAAATATTTGTCAGCACAACTGTTGATAATTCTAATAATAAATCAGCATATTATACTGATTTCTGAAGATCATGTGACGCTTTATACTGGAGTAATGATGATGGAAATTCAGCTTTGCATCACAGAAATAAATTATATTTTAAAGGATATTAAAATAGAAACCATTATTTTATATTGTAATAACATTTTGCAAGATTACTGTTTTTTTCTGTATTTTTAATCAAATAAATGCAGCCTTGATGAGCAGAAGAGACTTCTTTAAAAAACATTACAAGTCTAAACTTTTGAACGACAGTGTATATATACAATAAAAAAATATTTTTTTTTTTGCATTATTGCAGTAATGGTTGTTGACCTAAACATAGGCTTAATTGTCATTATGCATTATGCAAAGTATAATTAAAAATGTATTCTTAATGAAATATGACCCGGACGTGTCTTCATGAGAGTCACACTTATAAATGCAAAATCAGATTTACAGTCAGCATTCCCAGTAAACCTAACAGTTGCATGTTATTTTAATAACGCTTTCAGTTGCTGTTTTCTGCTGATATGTTCAGTTGTAGATTTGGGTCTGAATCCGCTGGGAGAAGAGACTGGAACCGCAGACGCTCTCGCTCTGCTCATCCTACAGAGTATGACCCTTTAAATATTACTCGCTCTCATATTTTCATAAGATGAGTCTTTGTTAATGCTGTGTTTGGTTAAACGCAGGAGAAAATCTAGAGATTCTGCCACTCTTCTTTCCCTGCGGCTCCATCAAACGTGAAGTCCTGCCCACCGCGCTCCGAAAGAACCGTGAGATGATTTATTCAAACATTTACAAACCATTTCAGAGCATTTACAGATATTAAAGATGCAACACGTGTCATGAAAACTCATTCATGTTTTTTAATGCAGTGAACATTTCATTGTTGTTTTGTTTTTTAGGGTTTCGTTTCACCCCAAAATAAAAAGGAAAAAGATATTCAATTATATTATCAAAAATATACACTGCTGTTCAAAAGTTTGGGATCAGTAAGAATTGTCAAAGAAGTTTTTATGCTCATCAAAGCTGCATTTATTTAAACAAAAATACAGAAAAAAATGTAAAATTGTGAAATATTATTGCAATTTAAAATAACAGTTTTCTGTTTTACTATACTTTAAACTGTAATTTATTTCTGTGATGCGCAGCTGTATTTTCAGCATCATTACTCCAGTCTTCAGTGTCACATGTTTTGTACCCGTGATACTTTTTTCAGGATCTAAAAATAATCCTAGAAATTAGTTTCTTCTTGCATTTGAATCGGTATTCCTTTATGGTTGTGGTTTCTCTGTCAGATATTCCTCTGGAGACACTGACCGTCTATCAGACATCTGAACATCCTGATCTACAGAAGAACATCACTGACTATTTCATTCAGCAGGTGTGTGTGTGTGTGTGTGTGTGTGTGTGTGTGTGTCTGTGTCTGTGTGTGTGTGTCTGTGTCTGTGTCTGTCTCTGTCTGTCTGTGTGTCTGTGTCTGTGTGTGTGTCTGTCTGTGTGTCTGTCTCTGTCTGTCTGTCTGTGTGTGTGTGTCTCTGTCTCTGTGTCTGTGTCTGTGTCTGTCTGTGTGTGTGTGTCTGTGTCTGTGTCTGTCTCTGTGTGTCTGTGTCTGTGTGTGTGTCTGTCTGTGTGTCTGTGTCTGTCTCTGTCTGTCTGTCTGTGTGTGTGTGTCTCTGTCTCTGTGTGTCTGTGTGTGTGTGTGTGTGTGTGTGTGTGTCTGTGTCTCTGTCTCTGTCTCTGTCTGTGTCTGTGTCTGTGTGTGTGTCTGTCTGTGTCTGTGTGTGTTTGTCTGTGTCTCTGTCTCTGTCTGTCTGTGTGTCTGTGTCTGTGTCTGTGTGTCTGTGTGTGTGTGTGTGTGCGAGTGTGTGAGTGTGTGTGTCAGATATCACACATCTGTCTGTTCATGACAGTGCTGTTACTCACCTGTGTGTCTGTGTGTGTGTGTGTGTTGTGTTCAGGGCGTCCCGGCGAGCGTGGCGTTCTTCAGCCCATCTGGAGTGAGGTTCTGTTTGGATTTGGTGAAAAGACTCTCCGGATCTCAGCTGGAGCAGATAAAGGTACGACACACAGCAAGCATCGCTGCATCTTTCACTCGGATGAATCAGATTCAGAGAATATAGAATCATTATATTATATATCATTTATAATCAATGTGTTCTTCAGTTTGCGTCGATTGGACCGACCACAGCAGACGCGCTGCGGTCGCACGGACTGACGGTCAGCTGCTGCGCTGAGAAACCCACAGCCAAACACCTCGCCGCCGCCATCACACACGCCCTACACACCTGACCTCTGACCCCTGACCGCCAGAGACGAGCAGAGGACAATTTGGGAAGCTTTTGCAATAGATATTACATATAAACAATGAGCTTTTAAATAAATGATTGCATTAATATCTCTCTTACATATAGACATCTGTATATGTTTATGCATCAGAATCATCAGTGATTTACGCTCAGTTTTGTTTGTAGGAATCTCCGCTCTGTGTTTTATGTTGAATACGAGTAACTTTCAGTGTGACGCTATCCATGTGAAATGGTGGCTTGAATGTTATTTCTGCTGTAATAACTGAAGAACTTTTATTTGCATTATTTGGATGGAAGATTAAATATAAAATAAAAATTGAAATTAATTGTGTATATTCTCCTCAATTAATGTTGATGTGCAGCATTTTAAATTACATTTACCTTTTTAATTACATATATAATTATTTTAATTTATTATAATGTAATTATATTCATTTGTATATTCTCAGTGTTGATGGGTAGAATTTTAAATACATTTAAAACATTACATTTTTAGTTACATTTATAAATATTTTAATTTTATTTAAATAATACAGTTATTTTCAAGTGTATATTCTCCTCAATGTTGATGAGTATGTTACATTTTTGATTATATTTGTAATTATTTTTATTTATTAAATAATATGATTATTTTCGAGTGTACAGTGGGTACGGAAAGTATTCAGACCCCCTTAAATTTTTCACTCTTTGTTATATTGCAGCCATTTGGTAAAATCATTTAAGTAAATTTTTTTTCCTCATTAATGTGCACACAGCACCCCATGTCTGTCTCTGCTTCGCTTGTTTTTATGGCGAAATAACCCGGCTGTTTCTCACAGAGGCGCGAGCGCGAGCGCGTCGCTATAAAGCGCGTGGGGTTGACGCTCGCTCACTCAGTGCGGGACAGACGCGCAGCGGAGCTTTAACGATGCTGGCTGTGATCCGGCTGATCTTCATCCTCCGGACCGTCATCTTCATCATCAGCGCGGAGAAAGTCTTCCACAGCAGAGATCACTCCGATGCGATGAACGACATCCGACAGGCGGAACTCATCACCGACACCGACACTGCACAGGTCTCTATCTATCTATCTGTCTGTCTGTCTGTCTGTCTGTATGTCTATCTGTCTGTTTGTCTACTATCTGTCTATCTGTCTGTCTACTGTATATCTATCTGTCTGTCTGTCTGTCTATCTGTCTGTCTACTGTATATCTGTCTGTCTACTGTATATCTATCTATCTGTCCGTCCGTCTATCTGTATGTCTATCTATCTATCTATCTGTCCGTCTGTCCGTCCATCCATCCATCCATCTGTCTGTCTACTGTATATCTGTCTGTCTGTCCACTGTCTATCTATCTATCTGTTGGTATGTCTGTCTACTGTCTATCTGTCTATCTATCTGTCCGTTTCTGTCCATCTGTCCGTCTGTCTATCTGTCTGTCTATTTGTCTATCTATCTGTTTGTCTACTGTATATCTGTCTATCTATCTGTCCATCCATCCATCCATCTGTCTACTGTCTGTCTGCCTGTATGTCAATCTATCTATCTTTTAATTGGTAACATTGCATACGCAGACATACACAGTACGACGTGTAGTGAAATGCTTGATACGAATATATTATATTGATAGATAGGAATAAAAATAAGAAGTAAAAATAAAATGTGACCCTGGAGCACAAAACCAGTCATTAGGGTCCATTTTTTTAAAATTGAGATTTATGCATCAGCTAAAAGCTGAATAAATAGCTTTCCATTGATGTATGGTTTGTTAGGATCGGATAATATTTGGCTGAGATACAACTATTTGAAAATCTGGACTTAACACTGACTTAACACTGCTTATGTGCTGCAGGGTCACTTATGAAATCTGAAAACTTAAGATTAAGAAAATAGGAATTTAAAAAAGATTAGGAATTAAGAGAATTATAATTATAATTATACAATATATTGTTTCAATAAATTGCATCGTAAAATAATTTAAATTTTCAGACTTTGTCATGTCAATGTTTGTGCATATTGGTGGGTCTGCAGTTTTGTAGTAATAATCCATTTTTGATGTTTGAGTAGGTTTAGGATTTTTTTTTACATTTTTTGCATGTAAAAATCTTACAATTTGTAAGGCCACCAATACAATGTAAAAGAAGCACTGATTTAAAAAAAACAAACAATAAATGCTCACTGACATCAATGATGCAGAAAATTAAATACAATGCAAAACTCAAGTAAGCATGTTTTTATTATTGCAATCTCTGAAACAGACGCTTGTTCATCTCTGATCTGAATCTCTGACCTAAATTACTTAACTGAATCTCTGACCTGAATCACTGATCTGAATCACTGATCTGAATCTCTGACCTGAATCACTGACCTGAATCACCGTCCTGAATCACTGACCTGAATCACCGTCCTGAATCACTGATCTGAATCTCTGATCTGAATCACTGACCTGAATCACTGATCTGAATCACTGATCTGAATCACTGACCTGAATCACTGACCTGAATCACTGACCTGAATCACTGACCTGAATCACTGATCTGAATCACTGATCTGAATCACTGATCTGAATCACTGATCTGAATCACTGATCTGAATCACTGACCTGAATCACCGTCCTGAATCACCGACCTGAATCACCGTCCTGAATCACCGTCCTGAATCACTGATCTGAATCACCGACCTGAATCTCTGATCTGAATCACTGATCTGAATCACTGATCTGAATCACTGATCTGAATCACCGTCCTGAATCACTGATCTGAATCACCGACCTGAATCACCGACCTGAATCACCGACCTGAATCACCGACCTGAATCACCGACCTGAATCACCGACCTGAATCACCGACCTGAATCACCGACCTGAATCACCGACCTGAATCACCGACCTGAATCTCTGACCTGAATCTCTGACCTGAATCACCGACCTGAATCACCGACCTGAATCACCGACCTGAATCGCTAATGTGAATGTGAATCTCTGAATCACTCACCTGAATCACTGATGTGAATCACTGACCTGAATCTCTGATGTGAATCTCTGATGTGAATCACTGATCTGAATCACTGACCTGAATCTCTGATGTGAATCTCTGATCTGAATCACTGATGTGAATCACTGATGTGAATCACTGATCTGAATCACTGAGTGTAGCGTGTCGTGTGTTTCATTCAGGTAGCGGTTCATGAGATCGGTCACGTTTTAGGGCTTCCTCACATCTACCGGTCCGAATCCATCATGCAGCCCAGTTACCTTCCTCAGGACGCCGGCTTTGAGATCGACTGGATGGACCGGAAGTCCATTCAGAGTCTGTATGGTGAGCACTAGAGATTACATTTATAATATTATTATATATATGTATTATTCTACTATTATTATATATATATGCAGAAAATTATGCCTATTTTTAAGATTTCTACACATTACGAGACATTTTCAACCCAAATTGTCATTACTATTATCTATACAGTAGCCTAAGTACAGTATGCAATATTATAGTATTTGTTGTACATGTGTGGTTGTTATGCATAAAGGACAATGAGATTTTTTTTATATTACACTAATGAGAATTTGAGTTGGAAATGTCTTTGATTGTCATGAATATAATCCCACAATGCAAACAAAACATGCTTCGTTTTCTTACAACATAGAAATGTAATTGGTTTTGTGTGTGTTTTCTGCCAGGTGTGTGTAAGGGCCGCTTCAGCACCGTGTTTGATTGGATCAGGAAGGAGCAGACGCCGTACGGCGAGGTCGTGGTGCGTTTCAACACCTACTTCATGCGTGACGACTGGTACTGGCTCTATGAGAACCGTAATAACCGGACGCGCTACGGGGACCCGGTGGCGGTGCAGGTGGGCTGGCACGGGCTGCCCTCCAGCGGCGTGGACGCTTACGTTCACGTGTGGAACCGCAAAACAGACGCTGTCTACTTCTTTAAAGGTATTTATTTACTTACTATGAGTTTATTCATATGCCTCTGAGACAGTACAAAAGCACAATCTTAGCTGAAAGACTAAAAGAGATGCATTGCTCATAGACAGCACAAGCACAAGCTTATTTGCATCTCAAAAAGAAAACTCTGTGTGAACAGCTAACAGTGTAACAGTGTACTTTTGTAACAGTACATTTGCAGTTTACATATTTTGCATTGTTTTGCATAGAATTTTGTATTTTTGCAGTGTTTTTTGCCCATTATTTTGCATTGTGTGTTTGTATTTTGCAGGGATTTTTTTATATACATATTGTACATTTGTATTTTGTGGTTATTGTATTTCTTTATTTATTATTATTATTTATTTTTTTTATTTTTTACATATTTAGCATATTTTACATTTGCATTATCTGATGTGAATCACTGATCTGAATCACTGACCTGAATCTCTGATGTGAATCTCTGATGTGAATCACTGATCTGAATCACTGAGTGTAGCGTGTCGTGTGTTTCATTCAGGTAGCGGTTCATGAGATCGGTCACGTTTTAGGGCTTCCTCACATCTACCGGTCCGAATCCATCATGCAGCCCAGTTACCTTCCTCAGGACGCCGGCTTTGAGATCGACTGGATGGACCGGAAGTCCATTCAGAGTCTGTATGGTGAGCACTAGAGATTACATTTATAATATTATTATATATATGTATTATTCTACTATTATTATATATATATGCAGAAAATTATGCCTATTTTTAAGATTTCTACACATTACGAGACATTTTCAACCCAAATTGTCATTACTATTATCTATACAGTAGCCTAAGTACAGTATGCAATATTATAGTATTTGTTGTACATGTGTGGTTGTTATGCATAAAGGACAATGAGATTTTTTTTATATTACACTAATGAGAATTTGAGTTGGAAATGTCTTTGATTGTCATGAATATAATCCCACAATGCAAACAAAACATGCTTCGTTTTCTTACAACATAGAAATGTAATTGGTTTTGTGTGTGTTTTCTGCCAGGTGTGTGTAAGGGCCGCTTCAGCACCGTGTTTGATTGGATCAGGAAGGAGCAGACGCCGTACGGCGAGGTCGTGGTGCGTTTCAACACCTACTTCATGCGTGACGACTGGTACTGGCTCTATGAGAACCGTAATAACCGGACGCGCTACGGGGACCCGGTGGCGGTGCAGGTGGGCTGGCACGGGCTGCCCTCCAGCGGCGTGGACGCTTACGTTCACGTGTGGAACCGCAAAACAGACGCTGTCTACTTCTTTAAAGGTATTTATTTACTTACTATGAGTTTATTCATATGCCTCTGAGACAGTACAAAAGCACAATCTTAGCTGAAAGACTAAAAGAGATGCATTGCTCATAGACAGCACAAGCACAAGCTTATTTGCATCTCAAAAAGAAAACTCTGTGTGAACAGCTAACAGTGTAACAGTGTACTTTTGTAACAGTACATTTGCAGTTTACATGTTTTGCATAGAATTTTGTATTTTTGCAGTGTTTTTTGCCCATTATTTTGCATTGTGTGTTTGTATTTTGCAGGGATTTTTTTATATACATATTGTACATTTGTATTTTGTGGTTATTGTATTTCTTTATTTATTATTATTATTTATTTTTTTTATTTTTTACATATTTAGCATATTTTACATTTGCATTATTTTGCATTGTACATTTTTTTTGTTGCATTTTTTAAAACATTTTACATTTGCATTCTGCATAATTTTGCATTGCACATTTGTATTTTGCGGTTATTTTATTTATTCATTTATTACATATTTCATGTTTATATTATGCATTATTTTGCATTGCACATTTGTGTATTGCAGGGTTTTTTTGGTTTGTTTTTTTTTACATATTTTGCTTATTTTATATTTGTATTTTGCATTTGTATATATATATTTTATTTAGCAGGTTTTGTTTTTGCATATTGTACATTTGCATTATTTTGCATTGCACATTTGTGTATTGCAGGGTTTTTTTGGTTTGTTTTTTTTTACATATTTTGCTTATTTTATATTTGTATTTTGCATTTGTATATATATATTTTATTTAGCAGGTTTTGTTTTTGCATATTGTACATTTGCATTATTTTGCAATGTACAGTATTTTTGCAGTGTTTTTTGCCCATTATTTTGCATTGTGTGTTTGTATTTTGCAGGGATTTTTTTATATACATATTGTACATTTGTATTTTGTGGTTATTGTATTTCTTTATTTATTATTATTATTTATTTTTTTTATTTTTTACATATTTAGCATATTTTACATTTGCATTATTTTGCATTGTACATTTTTTTTGTTGCATTTTTTAAAACATTTTACATTTGCATTCTGCATAATTTTGCATTGCACATTTGTATTTTGCGGTTATTTTATTTATTCATTTATTACATATTTCATGTTTATATTATGCATTATTTTGCATTGCACATTTGTGTATTGCAGGGTTTTTTTGGTTTGTTTTTTTTACATATTTTGCTTATTTTATATTTGTATTTTGCATTTGTGTATATATATATTTTTTATTTTGCAGGTTTTGTTTTTGCATATTGTACATTTGCATTATTTTGCAATGTACATTTTTTTTGTTGCATTTTTTAAAACATTTTACATTTGCATTCTGCATAATTTTGCATTGCACATTTGTTTTTTGCATTGTGCATTTGTATTTTGCATGGTCCTTGTTCACTTATTAGATTTAATCAATTAATAATGATATATTTAATTCAATATTTAATGATTCAGTACTGTAACATGTTTTTTAAAAATTCAGAATGGCATACCACTGTACCGAAGTGCATACTGCACTATTTCTCCAGTAGTTGAGATGTTTGCATGTATGTATTGATGTTATGTTGTGATGTTTTAGGTGTGCAGTACTGGCGTTATGACAGTGAGAACGATCAGGTGTTCACTGAAGACTCAGACGGCCGCTCGTATCCTCGTCTGATCTCTGAAGGCTTTCCCGGCGTGTCTGGACCAGTGGACACTGCATACTACGACCGGAGGGATGCTCACATCTACTTCTTCAAGGGCTCACAGGTAACAGCTGCTAATATTCATGCAAGATGAAAAATAAATGACAAACTAGATAGTTCCAGTGTCCAATGAGATTTAGTAGGACGATAGTAATTGCACAATATTAATTTGCAGGTGTTCAGGTTTGATGTGCGCGCGAACCGCTTGGCTTCTTCTTCCCCACAAAAAATCACAGAGGTGTTTCCCGCCGTTGTCCCTGGTAACCATCCCCTCGGTAACCTGGATGCTGCGTATTTCTCATACTCGCACAACACGGTGTTCCTGCTGAAGGGCTCGTGGTTCTGGCGGATGGTGAGCGGCAGAGATCGCAGACGGAGCGTCTCGCTGCCACCAAACAGCCTGATGCCCCGCAGAGATGTGGAGCAGCAGTGGTTCGACATCTGTGACGTTCACCAGAGCTCTCTGAGAACCGTGCGCAGATGATGAGGTCAGCTGAGGTCTGATCTCATATCAGCCTCATACTGTATGATTTTATACCAGCAGGAACTGAACGAACGCTGAGAGCATGAGGACGTTCATCTGAATCTGGGATTCCCAGATGAGCTCAAATATATAATTAAAGTCTCCTGAGGTTTAAGTTAAAGAAATAGTTCCCCCAAAAATGAACATGTGCTGAAAATGTGCTCACGCTCAAACCATCGCAGATCAGGATGAGTTTGTTTCTTCATCAGATTTGGAGAAATGTAGCATTGCATCAGTGTCTCAGCAATGGATGCTCTGCAGTGAATGGGTGCCGTCAGAATGAGAGTCCAAACAGCTGATAAAAGTGCATTTGTATTTTGCATGGTCCTTGTTCACTTATTAGATTTAATCAATTAATAATGATATATTTAATTCAATATTTAATGATTCAGTACTGTAACATGTTTTTTAAAAATTCAGAATGGCATACCACTGTACCGAAGTGCATACTGCACTATTTCTCCAGTAGTTGAGATGTTTGCATGTATGTATTGATGTTATGTTGTGATGTTTTAGGTGTGCAGTACTGGCGTTATGACAGTGAGAACGATCAGGTGTTCACTGAAGACTCAGACGGCCGCTCGTATCCTCGTCTGATCTCTGAAGGCTTTCCCGGCGTGTCTGGACCAGTGGACACTGCATACTACGACCGGAGGGATGCTCACATCTACTTCTTCAAGGGCTCACAGGTAACAGCTGCTAATATTCATGCAAGATGAAAAATAAATGACAAACTAGATAGTTCCAGTGTCCAATGAGATTTAGTAGGACGATAGTAATTGCACAATATTAATTTGCAGGTGTTCAGGTTTGATGTGCGCGCGAACCGCTTGGCTTCTTCTTCCCCACAAAAAATCACAGAGGTGTTTCCCGCCGTTGTCCCTGGTAACCATCCCCTCGGTAACCTGGATGCTGCGTATTTCTCATACTCGCACAACACGGTGTTCCTGCTGAAGGGCTCGTGGTTCTGGCGGATGGTGAGCGGCAGAGATCGCAGACGGAGCGTCTCGCTGCCACCAAACAGCCTGATGCCCCGCAGAGATGTGGAGCAGCAGTGGTTCGACATCTGTGACGTTCACCAGAGCTCTCTGAGAACCGCGCGCAGATGATACTGTACTGTATGAGGAAGGCTGCAGCAGATTTTATACCAGCAGGAACTGAACGAACGCTGAGAGCATGAGGACGTTCATCTGAATCTGGGATTCCCAGATGAGCTCAAATATATAATTAAAGTCTCCTGAGGTTTAAGTTAAAGAAATAGTTCCCCCAAAAATGAACATGTGCTGAAAATGTGCTCACGCTCAAACCATCGCAGATCAGGATGAGTTTGTTTCTTCATCAGATTTGGAGAAATGTAGCATTGCATCAGTGTCTCAGCAATGGATGCTCTGCAGTGAATGGGTGCCGTCAGAATGAGAGTCCAAACAGCTGATAAAAACATCACAATAATCCACAAGTAATCCACAGCACTCCAGTCCATCAGTTAACATCTGGAGAAGACAAAAGCTGAAACAAATCCAGCATTAACACGCTTTTAACTAAAATACCATAGAGTCTATAATCCATAATAACTCTTCCTCCAGTGAAAAAGCACATCTCCTGTCATCTCTCATATGTGTTTAGAGCTGTTTAAACGCTGCTTGATCTGTGCAGATTTCTCTCCTGATTCACTTTTGTCTTCTCCAGATGTTAACTGATGGACTGGAGTGCTGTGGATTACTTGTGGATCACTGAAATAATTTAATTTGTCAGTCATCTATATTTTTTTGTGGTCTTCTGTAGTTAGATATTTATATAAATCAGCATGTATGTCAGGCAATGCAGTGCAACAGGATTTGACAAAAACATGTATTTATTTATACTGTTTGCTGGAACATGCCTCTATATTTATTCCATAAGTTATTTGGTAACACTTTACAACAACATTAACAAAGATTAATAAATACTGTTATAAATGTATTGTTCATTGTTCAATCAAGTTAGTTAATAATGGAACCTTATTGTAAAGTGTTACCAGTTATTTAATATTTGTTATTATTTGTTTGTTATAAACATGTTCTTTCAGAATAAACAACCTAAAATTGTTTTGGTTGTTTTCTGTTTTGTGTGTGTGTGTCTCCACACCTGTCTACAATTACATCGAATTAATTAATGATTTTCATTACTGATTTTTAATACCAAAGACAGCTGCTTAACAGGCTTTCAGTTTAATTTCTTTCCTAGTACTGAACATTTCAAACTCTACTAGAGCTGATATCTATAGTACATGACTGAAACACATTACTGTGTATATATACTGTACCTATATCATTCTCTGCAGATGTCCTGTACGATCACATGACAAGAAATGGAATTATAATTTACTATTTAATTTTTTTATTGATTACAAGAAATCAGTTCATAGGTGTTTAAATCTGCAGTGGTTTAGCTTAAACAAAAACCCTTCATTACAACACTGAGAATTATTTATGCATGCACTAATTTATGAAGCTTTAACAACTTGTGCATATTAATAAACTCATACTGAGTTAGTGACACTTTATACAAGGGTTAAAACCATAAAAATACATTACAAAACTTGAACTAAAAATAAAATATAAACCTGTTTAATTTCCGAAAGTTGCCAGTGCAACTTTTCTCATTTTCATTTAGTTTATCTTGATTTATCAATAAAATCAAAAACTAATAAAAATGACTAAAACGTTCAAATTAAAATAACGTCAGAATGAGAGTCCAAACAGCTGATAAAAACATCACAATAATCCACAAGTAATCCACAGCACTCCAGTCCATCAGTTAACATCTGGAGAAGACAAAAGCTGAAACAAATCCAGCATTAACACGCTTTTAACTAAAATACCATAGAGTCTATAATCCATAATAACTCTTCCTCCAGTGAAAAAGCACATCTCCTGTCATCTCTCATATGTGTTTAGAGCTGTTTAAACGCTGCTTGATCTGTGCAGATTTCTCTCCTGATTCACTTTTGTCTTCTCCAGATGTTAACTGATGGACTGGAGTGCTGTGGATTACTTGTGGATCACTGAAATAATTTAATTTGTCAGTCATCTATATTTTTTTGTGGTCTTCTGTAGTTAGATATTTATATAAATCAGCATGTATGTCAGGCAATGCAGTGCAACAGGATTTGACAAAAACATGTATTTATTTATACTGTTTGCTGGAACATGCCTCTATATTTATTCCATAAGTTATTTGGTAACACTTTACAACAACATTAACAAAGATTAATAAATACTGTTATAAATGTATTGTTCATTGTTCAATCAAGTTAGTTAATAATGGAACCTTATTGTAAAGTGTTACCAGTTATTTAATATTTGTTATTATTTGTTTGTTATAAACATGTTCTTTCAGAATAAACAACCTAAAATTGTTTTGGTTGTTTTCTGTTTTGTGTGTGTGTGTCTCCACACCTGTCTACAATTACATCGAATTAATTAATGATTTTCATTACTGATTTTTAATACCAAAGACAGCTGCTTAACAGGCTTTCAGTTTAATTTCTTTCCTAGTACTGAACCTTTCAAACTCTACTAGAGCTGATATCTATAGTACATGACTGAAACACATTACTGTATATATACTGTACCTATATCATTCTCTGCAGATGTCCTGTACGATCACATGACAAGAAATGGAATTATAATTTACTATTTAATTTTTTAATTGATTACAAGAAATCAGTTCATAGGTGTTTAAATCTGCAGTGGTTTAGCTTAAACAAAAACCCTTCATTACAACACTGAGAATTATTTATGCATGCACTAATTTATGAAGCTTTAACAACTTGTGCATATTAATAAACTCATACTGAGTTAGTGACACTTTATACAAGGGTTAAAACCATAAAAATACATTACAAAACTTGAACTAAAAATAAAATATAAACCTGTTTAATTTCCGAAAGTTGCCAGTGCAACTTTTCTCATTTTCATTTAGTTTATCTTGATTTATCAATAAAATCAAAAACTAATAAAAATGACTAAAACGTTCAAATTAAAATAAATCAGAAAATATACTAATTCATAATATGTTCATAAAAACTATACTACTATGTCAAGGAGACTAAAATAACACTGCTGTATACTTGATATGAACTCTATTTCTAATGTATCTTTTGTAATGAAAGAGATCATTGCACTGTTAAAGCACTGGATTGTCTGAATTAATATTATTTAGCTATTCGTCACTTTTATTCAACAATTAGTCAAGCTGCAATGTTTGTTTATGCAACACCTTTGACACAAAGTGTCGGAAAACTCTTGTAAGACTTACATGCAAAATGCTGAATAGCAACATTAATAAACAGGCAAAAAGTTGACCATGTTAAGAAGATGCCGTGGATTCTTTCTCATAAGTGTACTGTTGATGTGTGTTTATTACATTAGTGCATGATTCCACAGAAATCAGTCAGTTCACTGCTAATGCAAACAAGCAGAATATGAATTCATGTGATTAATAACATATCCGCATGCAGGCTGGAATCAGATTGCATTAGCAAAAACATGCATACTAATGTGCTAATGACACTTGATAGAAAATACAGGCATGGAACTAATTAGGGAATAATTGCATTCCAGCAGGGATCTGTTGCCATGGAGAGTAACTCATGATGTCATCACCAGGTAAATCACCACAGACTCTTATTAGAGCTGATGACTTTTTCTTAGAAATAGATCACTGCATAAATGCAATTAAAATAATAACCGGAAGAGTAAGACATTTCTAATTTGTTGATTATATGTGTCCCTGGAGCACAAAAGCAGTGTTGAGTCGCTGGGGGATATTTGTAGCAATAGCCAACAATACATTGTATGGGTCACAATTATACATTTCTCTTTTATGCCAAAAATCATTAGGATATTAAGTAAAGATTATGTTCCATGAAGATATTTAGTAAATGTCCTACCGTAAATATATCAAAACTTAATGTTTGATTAGTAATATGCATTGCTAAGAACTTCATTTGGACAACTTTAAAGATGATTTTCTCAATATTTAGGTTTTTTTGCACCCTCAGATTCCAGATTTTCAAATAGTTGTATCTCAGCCAAATATTGTCATATCCTAACAAACCATACATCAATGGAAAGATTATTTATTCAGCTTTCAGCTGATGCATAAATCTCAATTTCGAAAAATTGACCCTTATGACTGGTTTTGTGCTCCAGGGTCACATATATGAATGAAAACATTTACATATTTTTGATATATTTAGTTTTATTGTTCTGTAATTCTCTATGCACACACTTGCTGGTTACTGGTTTAACCACCAGCAGAGGGCGACGCTGCCTGTACAAACACACTGCATACTAGCATACTACTCATACTACTCCGCATAGTATGCACATTTTATGTATGAAATAGCAAAGTAACTCACTGCATTTGCTAGTTTTTGTAATGTCTATTCAAAGCTTTACTCAGGTAGCATGACGATGTCTTTGAATTATCTTCTTTTGGACTTTCCTGAGCTTATACTGATATATGCATTTAATTTGATTAATGATGACCTGACTTGTTTTTTCATAACCTGGGGATATCAGATATGATGCTGTAGGCTTTAAAAGGTTAATTGGAGACATCTGCACTGCTAATATAATTGTCTTAATTAGCCAGGAATGGAAATCCACGCTGGAGTTTTAAAAGTAGCAATCACTGGAAAAGTCACTGTAGCACTGGACAAAAGGTGTAAGGAATTTAGCCGAACAATATTTCCATCTAAGCATTCATTTGTATTCGTCATCAATAACTAAAACTAGATAAACTACAACTATTAAATAAAAAAACCTAACTAAATACATAAAAACAATAAAATAAATAAAGCCTCAACTAAAATTAAAGTGAAAACATAAAAATATTTTAAAGATTTTCTTACTCAGTATTTTTGTCTTGTTTTCTATTAAAAATATCAAAAAATTAGACTTGAGTAGCAAAATGACAAGAAATTGTCTGGGGGAAAAATCATCAAAATTTAAAATTGAAGTGAGTTTGTGCTATAAAGAAGACAAAATATCTGTCAGCTACTTAATTCAAAGAGAAACCAAGATTAGTTTCTGACTCCACTGGTGGATATTTTTCTATATTTTCAGAAACTCACTCAATGTTGATCATTTATTACAGAAATCTTGACTTAATAACAAATTTTAGTGTGTGTGTGTGTGTGTGTGTGCGTGTGTTTGTGTGTGTGTGTGTGTGTGTGTGTGTGAGTTTGTGCGTGTGTTTGTGTGGGTGTGTGCGTG